GTATTTCTCGTCATTGCTGATTCAAACCCGATCTTAGCACAATTTTATAACTTTTCAATCACATAGCATTGAATATATTGCTAAGTATACTAATCAGCTGGCAGTGAAGAAGAAGAACAACAACCGGAATCTTGATCTATTCTTGTAGATGACAAAAGAAAACAACAACAATTATTAGCGTCAGCTTAAATTGCTTGACCGCAAACAACAACAACAACAACAACAAGAAAAAAGTACGTAACATATAAAGCATTAGATTTAAAGATGAGCAATCATATGAACAGTTTCTTACATGTAGAAAGTAATTCGGACTTCTTGAGAAGTTTTTTTTTTTTCTGTAACTCTATTGCGATTTTTTCTAATCGTACTGATGATTTATTTTTTTTTTTTCAACAACTAAAGACCACTGAACAAGTCATGTGGTTAGCGGAAGAGTTATTAACAGATCTAAAAATGGCCGACATTGTTTTTTTCGCTTGTTTTTTTTTTTTGACATTTGTTCCTTTTCTGATTATACAGATTTGCCGCTTTTACTTATTTTTAAGACTGAATATAATTTTCTTTTTCCTTCTTCATTTTTTGTTTTTTTTTTTTTTTTGCAGCAAAACATTATGTTACTTGTTGTTCAAAATTTAGTTGACTTTTTGTTGACTTCTCATATAGTTACTGCTTTGATACCCACCTTTGAGTACTCAATACTTTTTTTTTGCTGCCAACCACGAGGCATTACATATTTAGCTGAACGAACCAATTTAAGAGTGATGTCAAATGACGCTCAATTTCGTCATTATTTTTGCAGTGTGTTCCTTTTGCAGTATCCAATATCTTGAAAAAAAAGGGTTTTTCTACTTTTTTCCTTTTTTTTACTTTTTATTGTTAGCAAATAGTTGTCCGTATTGATTATAATATTACGTCAAGTTTTTAATGTAATTATTGTTGTTACAGTGATCTCATCAAAAAAATAAACATTATTAACTGCATATTAGGTAAACATTTTAAGATTGAAAAAAGAAAAAAGGACAAAAACACATAAAAAAGTGCTTATTAGGCTTTAAACATAACCCCGAAGAATTAATGAGGTTGTTTTTAAATTATTTATTTTTTCATTTTCGGTGTTTTAGCTTCTCATAAATTAATGTTCTGACGCATAAGGATTGGCTATTCTACCTTAGTCTTATACAGTTCTTATTGTCTAGAAAACTAAAAATGTAGCGTTTAAAAATGACAAGAAGAAAAAAAAAACAGCTCATAAAAAACTAGAAAAAAAAAAAACAAGCAAAAACTCTAAAAGACTGATTTGGTAAAAAAACAAAAACTTCACAGTCTTCTTATTACTTGAAAAGTTGCTGAAGTATTGCAAAAGTGCTGTAATTAGTGGTTGACTTTTTTTCTGCTGAACGACACAGTTGCTGATGAGGAAGGATTCAGAAGAATAATATAAGGTCACTTGTGGCTCCGCCTCTATGCCGTATTGCTTTTGTCTAAATCCCGTAAAATTCTTGCTGATAACTTTTGTTGTAAAACATATAACATAAATCTTGTAAAAATTAAATAGTATTGATAACCACCTATCTTTACTTGTTAAACTTGTTTGTTTTTTTTTCTTAGTGTTTGATTATCCCTTGCTTTACTGCATTGTACAATACTGTTGTTAACTGCCGTTATTTCGTATGTGATCTAACAGCATTTCTGTTTTGACTTAGGAACATTTTTATAATACTGTAGGCTTATCAGTAGTTACTCAACAGTGATTACTTTGATACAAAGTTTGATAAAAAGTTTTACAATAGAATTTTTAATTATTGATCACTATCGACTAATAAAGGCACTATCGATAAACGAAGGAAAAACAAGCGCTTTTTTTCTCCACATCATTCCTCCTCGAAGAAGAACTGTAAAAAGTAAAAGTAGATCTTATATCTGTTACTAAATAATTCGGGGGAAGAGTTCATCGACAGAAAATGTACCAGAGTTTTAGAGTCGTCTCAGTTATTATTTAGTTCCAACAAACTTGTTTCTGGAGAGTGCTACCTGCTAGCATTGAAGATTCGTGGTTGAAAAGTACGTAATTAGTACAGTTAGCAAATATGATACGATTTTTTTTTTTTTTTT